CCCCCCCCCCTTGTTCGTCTGGAGCCAGAGCTGAGTATAACAGGGAGTCTCCAAGAATCCACACCCCACCCTCTTCGCTCACACACATCGTTCAACCAGACAGCTATTTGTAAGCCATAGGGGGGGCCCAGAAATAGTTTGGAAACCACTGGGGGGGCCCAGGAGGAAAAAGTTTGGGAACCACTGATTTAATCACCTAGATCGTTTAAAATCATTGTCAGAGTTTTGAAGCTATTGATCTTGAGAAGATGCTGTTATCAGCTGTAGACTATGATGCTGTCCCTCAACAGGCTTCAGTTGGTCCAAAATGTGGTTTTATCCTCAGTCTCTCTGCTGGCTGTCTGGTCGTTTTAGAATAGCTTTGAAACGTTTCTTCTTCATTTTTAAAGCCCCTAATGGTTTCGCCCCAGCTGGTATGCCTGACATCACTGCGTCATGTTTTTCTAAATGTTCCAAGAACTAAGACTTTGGGTAGATCACAGCAGTCTACCCAAGATCTGCCTGGTGTAGATCCAACTTCCACTGGATCTACACCAGGCCACGGTCCTGGACCTTTAAATCAAAGCTCAGGACCTTTTCATTTTTGAAAAGCTTTTCATAATTATGTGACATTTCATTTCAGATTTCTAACTTTTATTCTTTCTTTGCACTTGAGTCGTTTTTTTTGAAGCTCTTTAGCTGTGTGGCTCCCTGGCTGTTATATGAATGAATAAATTATTCTCCACCCCTCCCACTGTGCGTGTATGTCTATGAGAGAAACCTCTTCAGTGAGGAAGACTTTGAAGTGGTGGCTGCAGGACAGGATGGGGTGGTCGGCGATCCGGTTGAGGAAGCGGTGTAGTGCTTTCCTCCTGGTCTCTATGAAGTCGTCATTGAAGCGCTCCACCATGCTCTTCATCACAAACTTCTCTGGGAGAGGCTGCAAACATGCCAACATAGAAACTTAAATCTCTCCCAAGAAACCAATGTGATGAGGATGAAGCATTTGGGGGCAGCAGCTCATGTAGCGTAGTACAAAGCTCTCAGAAGATCACTGTGTTTTCTGTCATGTCTAACACGTGGGGCTGGCTCTCAGTGCAGTGCTTACTTGGCTCTGTGTTGGCCTTCACTGCCAAGATAAATGGCCTGCCTAAAGAGCTTCAACCAGTAGATATCTGTGACATCTGCCAAACACTGACCTGGCTGCTCTGACTAGGAGGATGTGACTGACCCAGTTCTCCTACAGCAGTGTCCAGAGCCTGTAACGAGCTCAGAATCGGTTGCTGAATGTAAGGACTTTCATTCTTTCTCAGCAAAACTCACCAAATTTACAAACCATAAATGCTTGAAATATTGAACTCCACATGTAATTAATCTATAGCTGTGTCCGAATTCAGGGTCTGCATCCTTCGAAGGACGGATTTGTAGGCCGATTACGTCATAGCGTGGCGACAAGGCCTGTCTGAATTCAAAGACTCTTTCAAATGCATCCTTCAAATGCGTCCTTCTTTTCCCCAGATTTGAAGGATGGGTCCGGTGTATCCTTCACGGCCCACGACATCCCATTCACTTATCCCAACACCCACGGTTCCAACTGGGCGTTCAGGCAGAGCGTCATTGGCGGTGAATAGCGACAAATGATTTAGCTATAATACACTTTAAATGACACAACGTGATTTGGTACAACGTTTTTAGGCAAGAATTTAAGTGTGTAAATCTCAAATATCTGCTCGGTTCATCAATACATCACCTAATTGCAATATTGCTCTGACATTTTCGGACCTGTCTGCTACCGCTGCGTTAACAGCCAGCTCCCCTCCAGCTGTCAGCTGGCCGGGCGCTCCAGGTTCGGTATACCGAGAGAAAACGCCTAACTCCTGGCACATTGTTATAAAAACTCCCGCTAGCTTTCCCCAATGAGTGGGAGTTAAACACCGATATTATTCAGACAGGTCTGGTTTAAAAATGTTTGGTTTATACAGTATTTTATTTTTAGTAAAGCAGAGCACATCAGTTTGATTGGTTAATTGAAGTTAAGCCTTCAAACATAATAGGTTTATTTAACCGTAATGTCCTATCTGCGATGTGGAGAGTATTATATTTGTAAATGAATAATTTGTATTCCTTGTAGAAAAGTGCAGTACACATTTGAACATTTTAGAATCAAACTAAAAGATTTCCTTTTTACTATGGAACATCCTTTACTATAAAAGTTGAAGAATAATATAGAAATCAGGAATACATGACGGAAAACCAAACTGCGGCTCCGTTGTTTTTTTTTTTCTTCTCCGCTCTCTGCTTCACGCTGTCACGGTTGCTTGGCAACATGAGTTACGCTGAGCTGGGGGCGGGGACAGTTGGTGAAGGGTAGACGTGTCCGAATCCACAGATATTTTTCTTCCGGTCTTAGTTTATTCCCAGCTTTCGAAGGACCCGTCCTACATAGACCAGTCCTTCGAAGGATGCAGACCCTGAATTCGGACACTGCTTATATGTTTCACTTTCTGTTGTGAGGGACAAAACATGTTGATATTCAAACTGAGTTCCATTTGCTAACACTACAAACTGTGAAATTTTGAAATGAAATTTTATTCGAACATGATACAAATATAAAATAAAATAGTGCACAGT